GCCAGCAGTGAGGGGGTGCGGGGCAGGGAGCTTGGCAAGGAGCACAGGAAAACAAGGATATGAGCAGCCACCAAGACCATGGCCTTGGCCTGGATGTTGTCCCTCTGAATCCCCATTCTCAGGCGTCTAGGTCACAAGTCTGGAAAGAACTATGAGCCTCTGGGAACCATGTTTTTGTGCCACGGCTTAAGCTGAAGGTACAGTCTACCCCTGATCACTTCTCATGACTCTAAGAATCATCTCTCATGGGTGGCATGCTCTGCAGTGATATGAAGAGCAGGTAAGACAGAGGTAACAGTGTGCAAGACTGGGTGCATCCATCTGGGCCAAGGGTCCCCAGAAGGGGCAATGGCCTATCCAGGGTGACTGCAGCTCCAGTGTGTCCCTTCTTATGAGCTCACCTTGGGTCTGCTAGGACTAGGGTGGCTCATGTCTCCCCAGTCTCTTCCTACATCCCTGGTTGCCCTTGTGTCCCAGGTTCCCTCCTCCTGAGAGTGCTGAGTTCCCCTGCTCTGTGCTATCTTTTCTCATACTGCTGTGATTCCTTAATTCAAGTCACTTCCTTCCACTCTCAGTGGCCTCTTTCCTTGGGCCACCTCCTCCCCACATTCACAGACCTCTCTCACACCCTTGTCCTAGAAAGGACAGTATTTCCTACGCTCCACATCCTCTGCAATCTGGATCACCTGAAAATCTCCCAAATCATCAAATTATTACATAAGTTGCTGCACCCCGAAGGCTCAAAACAACACCTTCCAAAGGCCAGAAGCTCAAAATCCAAAGTTGGCTTTGGGCTGGAATGAAGGTGTGGTCAGGAACTTGCCCTCTCCACAGGTCCTGAGGCTGGACCTTGCCTTCTTCAGCTTCCTTGGTTTTCGCCCCCTCTTCCTTTATCTCCCCATGTCTGCAGACGGCTTTCCTTTCTGTGTTTTATCTTTCTCTCCCTGTCCTGCAGAAGCATACTTGAGATGATTCTGTCTTCCCATAAATCTTCTCATTTCATCCTAATATGGGTCAATGCCCAAGAAATCAATCATTATTCATACATTACAGCTTAGAAAACTGCGGTTGGAGAAAGGGACGAGAGTGGATGGTGGATGGTTCCCCAACCCTCAGTAGTGCTTCACAATAACAGGCTCCTCATAAATATGTCAGAGCAGCAAAGCCAGGTGAGTGGGAGGGGGACTGAAGAGATGGAGGGGATCAAGTACCAGGCCAACACTTCCTGTAAAGCCACCCAGTCAAGCTCTTCTTTGTCACTTTCAGGGCCTTCATCTCTTTAGGAGCTGAAGGAAGTGGCTGGAACAAATCCCAGTGTGTCCCCAAAGCTGTCTCTGCTTTTCCACCTATAAAGCAGAACTGTCTGCTGTCTAATTTCCAATGCTATGGTGTCCTGCAATCCGAGTAATGGCCAAAAGACAGCTCCAGAACCTGGAAATGGTAGGGAAGTGGATTTTTCCCTTGAGACCCACAGGGAGCACAGGTCTAGGTACTGTTGTCCCAGCTCACTGAAATTGCTTAAATCTTTGGATTCCAGAACCAGAAGAGAATACATGTATGCTATTTCAAGGTAGTAGCTTGTGGTAACTTATTACAGTGGCTCTAGGAGAAGCCAGCCTCCCAGGAAAGAGGTGTCTACAGAACGGCCAGGTGCCAGCAAACTGTCTCCTGTTGATACCAGCCAAGCAATGCTTGGTCACTTTCAGGGCTTCTCTCCTTAGGGGCTGAAGGAAGTCACTGGAGCAAATCCCAAATAGCATGTCCCTGAAGCTGCCTCAGTTCGCTGGTTCTGCTCCTCCAAGACAGCTCCAGGGCTACTCAGGGCTGAGTTGTGAAAGGCTCACCCCTACCCTTACTCACCTTCACAGGAGGGCATCTTTAGAAAAGCCAAGTTTGTCCCAGGAGCCCTCTTGTCTCACCTGCTTCCTTGAAGCCATTCCCTCACCAACTAACACCACCTCCACAATTATGCCCGGGTGCCAGGTGGGCCTGAAATAATGGACTTAGGCACCTGGGGGCAGCACTTGGATGGAACAAGGAATCAGTCGTGCCAGAGCCAGGGTGGGATGGAAGGTGGAAGCAGCAGATGTAAACAGGCCCCAAGGAAGAGAGGTAAAGGTGGATGGCAGGCTGCCATCCCAGGCATGACCCATGGGAGGGGGCACTCATGACACCCCAGCTCTGCTTCCCCTACCCTAGATACCTTTGAGTAAAACTCTGATCCCACCCAATCTGGGCCCCACACTCAGCACAGGCAAACTGCTGAAATCCTTCCATCCTAGAGCCCTGCCCTTCTCTGGGGAGCTGGGTGAGGTCATCCTGGGCTTCCAAGCCCCAGAGAAGTTGGAAGAGGGACAGGACACCCTGGAACTATATTCTGTCTTGTCGTCCCTCTGTCACCTCCCCACCCAAGGAAAATCAGACATGTGGTTTCCAAGGCCTCCTCTGGCTTTGGGAAACTCCTGTTCACAGAACCCGGAACTGGGCTCTCTTGCCTAACTCACCCACCTCCTGCAGCTGAAGCAGCGACCATGCACAGTGAGCTTGTCCTGAGCTTCCCTCCCTGCTCTTCCATGCTTGTGTTAGAGCTCTCAGTGGTGATACCTGTGCACGCGTGGGAGGCACCCCAGACTGGAGCCTTGTCCGAGCAGTAGGGATGGTTTCTGTTAGGCAGAGTCCCATGACTGGGCAGGGACAGGAAGGGGTGTGAGGTTACCTGCATTCTGACTGTCACAAGTGCCTCCAGGAGTGTGTGTTGTGGTCTCTATAAGGCAAAGACTTGATCTCTCTCTCTTGTGAGTGCTGCAGTGGACATGGAGGGGTCTTTGAGCCAGGCAGTATGCTTGGTGTGCTCATGAGAGAATCCTTCAGGATAAGGTTGGCCAGCTGCCTTCACTCCCTGACCCATGTGCTGACCAGGAAAGGGAGGCATGCACAGTGTAACCGTAGCAACAAGCTCACTCCTGGATGACACCCAGAGGTGGGAACCTGCCCAGGTGTCCAGGTGAAATTCTGGCCCACGTTTCAAAGATCAGGGGCTCACTTCCTGGGACTCCTGTAGCTGTAGTGGCCAAGAAGTCCTATGCTGCAGCAGTGTCCTGGTCTCCCACTGGATGCCCAAGGGTGTGGGCATCCTCAGCCTGGGGGCCAGTCCCTGGTGTATGTCCTAGGTGGTGACAGAAAGGTAGGGAGTTAGTGGATCACCAAGCCTGCTATAAGGGGCACCACCTGCTTGTCCTTGAGCAGCCCTGCATTCTTCTCCATTACCCAGGTGGAGTAGCAGTGGAGATCACAAAAGTTGTGCAGAAGAATTTCAAAGAAAGCTGTCCTATCCAGGTCCTCTGACTGTCCTGGCCTGAAAGTGAGAGGATCAAGGAAGAACAAGGGTTTATTGATGCTACGCTGCATCTGTGAAGGAGCACAAAGCAGCTGCCAGTGAAGCAGTGCATGGAATTCAGCTTCAGAGGCTGGAAAAGGCAGGAAAGTGGATTCTTCCCCAGGGACCCACAGGGACACAGTCCTGCAGACTGCGGTCTCAGCCCAGGGACGCTGGTTCAAACCTCGCTCCCAGAACCAGAGAAGAATACACAAACGCTGTCTTAGCTGGTGGTTTGTGGCCACTGGTTACCATGGTCAAGGAAACTCATGCCTCCAGCCACCTGGAAGGGTAACACAAAGCCCTGTTTGTCCCAGAAGGTTTGATCCTGAAAGACCCTGAAGAAGCAAGGAATTATGGGAAGTTTCCTTGCTTGGGCCAAGATGAGAGGCTGGATCCATGGCCCAAGGGGATCCCAAAGGCCAAGTGCGCAGGATGAAGGTTCTGTCCCTTTGGCCAGCTACGGGGTCTGTGGCCATCAGCCCCTCAAGTGTCCCGCTCAGCCTGAACCTACTCTGGGTCAGACACAGTACCCATCCCAAGTCAGAATCCAAAGTGACACCAAACTGGTCTCTTCCTGGGGTATGGCTCAGATTTCTGACCCCATCTGGTGGCTCTGGGTCTCAGGCCTGACCTGCTTTCAGGGGTGCTGAAGTGGGTGACGTGATTGCTTGGGAATCTCCCTCTCCCCTGGCCAGGATGAAGGATGAATGTATGTGTGTGTTGGGTGGGAAGCCAGGGTCCTCCAGAACCACACCCAATCTGGTTCCTTCCTTTATAAGGGAAGAAGAGGCAGGAGAGGTTCCTGCATGTTGTGCCCAGCTGGAGGAGCAACGGATGCTGGCAGTAGGGGACTGGGGCTTCAGAACAGACACAGGCCCAGGCATGTGAGTCTGCTCCCAGCAGGCTGTGTTCTGGGCAGTATATTCCTGACCTCCCCGGCCCTGTGCTGGCTTCAGAATGCACCCTCAGGGGTCTGGACATCATCCTGCTTAAGGCAGCACCATGAATGGGGTTACCATGGGCATGGTCTCCAACTGCTGGGGTCAAATTTCAGGAATCTGGTCCTCTGGTTTCTGTCAGAGCAGCAGGGATCCAACCATACTGACCTGTGGCCTGGAATAGGCCTCTGTCTCTGTCTCACCCACCATGCACCCTCCTGTCTCCCCACCAACACCCATTATCCACAGGACTCTGGTAAGCAGTGGGTAGGTGTCCCTTACACCCCACCAGGGCCATCCTCCTCCCCAGGCCTGATGGGGCTGCTGCTGTAGGGCCTATTTGGGGTGGCCAGGTGTGGACATGAAATACGGCTCCACAAGTGCTTATGTTGGACAGGACATGCCCCATAGGCTGCTCTGGAGATGGCTGGGGGCTGGGAGCGCCCAGCCAAAGCAGGAGTGAGCGAAGCATCATTCTGCCCGCAACACACATAGGGCAGCCAGTGGCAACAATGGTGGCAGGGAGCCTGGGATTCTTTGCCTCGTCACTTGTCTCTGCACCCTAACCTCCTGCTGGGGTCTGGGGACAGCAGACCCTGGCGGTGATGCTGTTGGACCCACTCTTTGTCATTCTCTCAAACCACAGCCCAGCATACGAGGAGCACACCCTTGGATTCCTGGAAACAACTGTTTATTTAACAGAAAAAGTGGAGGCCTTCAGTGGCAGCCATTTTGGGAGATGGGAGGGCAGCACTGCACTGTAAGAAGAGTCTTCCCGCTCTCTCACTGGCATTGTTGTTGGTATTGCAGACGGAGGGCACCTTGGGCAGAGGTGACAGGAGTAACATGGGTTGCAGAGACGGAAGGCACCTGAGAGGAGACAGCAGAGTAAAGACGGCTGGGGTTTGCAGTCAGGGAAAGGGAGGAGAAAGGCATGCACGAGACCCCCAGCCACCCTGCCCTGGCCTCCCATCAGCCCCTGCCCAGCCACACTCACTTGCCATTCAGACATCCATGCACTTCTCTGTGGGGAGGAAGAACATCAGATCAGGCAGTGCTCTGCACGTGCACACGAATGCATGTGTACATGGGTTAGCGTGCGTGTGTGTGTGTGTGTGTGTGTGTGTGTGTGTCTTTGCCTGATATCTCCATGCTAGGACACCTGCATGGCCCTTGGCTGCCTCAGGCACAGCCTGACCCAGCTGAAAAGGATCTGGGGATTCCCTGAATTCAGGGCCTGGGGACAGGCAACCCAAGGGCTGTGCTCCATATCTGCTCTGCCACAAAGGCTTCTGGCCTGTTTGTGTGGTGGGTCTGGCAGGTCCTCAGCCAGTGGCCCTGTGTGGCCCAGGTAGAGACCCCAGCCCATGCCAATACACTTCACACAAAAGACATCTCTATGTCAGTAATCAGCAAGCCCCGGGGGAAGGTGGAGAGCGCCCAGGACAATAAGACCCAGGCATGGAGAGGAGGTGGCCCAAGAAAGTGAGACTTGCAAACTGGGACACAGGCCTAAAATCCTCACCTATGGATGACTTGGCTAAACTATCAGGGGGAGCATTTGTGCACAGAAGACTTGGGGCTCATAGAACCAAAGGTAGGAGCCACCTTTCCTCCAGTGACTGGACCAGGAGACAGTTTCTCCTCTCCCCTCTTCCTGGTGGGGCAGCATCAGGCCTGGACAGACCCCGCATCCCCTTCCCCTTCCCCAGCTAGACATTACCCATGGGGTCAGAGAAGAAGATGTTTTCATCAGTGAAGCCTAGAGTCATGGCAAAGTTGACAAAGCGCTTCCTCAGTTCAGGGTTCAGCTCCGTGGTCCTCCCTGTGGCCAAGATTATGGTGGTGGGGGAGCAGAAAGAACTTTGTAATTTATTTCCTTTTTTTTCAGATAGCGTCTTGCTATGTCGTTGAAGCTGGCCTTAAACTTGCAATCCTCCTGCCTGAGCCTACCCAGTGCTGTCATGACAGGTATGGGCCACCACCCCTCTGCACTACATAAACACTGTTGCATGAGTGAAGGATGCCTCAGACCTCTTTCTCATGAAAGGTCAGTAAAAGACCTCTTCCCCAAAAGAGATGCGTGAACTAGAGGAGACTTTGATTTTCAGGATGGGAGCTCCCTCCTGCTATTCTGACCAGGACCCAGGTCCCTGGGTGGGGCTGGGGGATGGAATAATAACCCACCTAAAAGGGTGGCCACCGATTGCACCCCATCTTGGACTATCCTGTAGAACACGATGGCGAACTGATTGTAGTCAGTGGCTACCACTCTCATGATGAAGTTCTGTACTCCACTGAAACCTGCAGTATGTTAAACAAGGGGTCATCCTTTCCAGAAGAGACTGCCCCTTCCTTCCCAGCCAGCTAGCAGGGGCTTCTCCCCAGGGCATGGCACCTCTAGGGAGGGTAGGGAGGGCTGTGCTCTTCCAGAGCACTCTGCCCCACAAATTCCAACCCCAGAGCACCCTCACTCAGGACTCACTTGTGATATTGGCCATGGTGAACTGGCCAGGCTGCCCACTTGGGACTACAGTGCTGCTCCAGTGATCACAGCCCTGGTCGCTGTGGGAGTGAGAGAAGGCGGGAGGTGAACAGAGAAGACGCAGTCTTGGTGCCCCTGGGCTGCATGAAGTTGGGCCCGGGCTGCAGCAGGATTCTGAGGTCCATTTGCAGCCCAGCCCATGCCTGCCTGTCCCCCACCACGGCAGGGGCCCCACATTGCCCACACCCATGGCCCTGAGCCTTTCCCTCTGAGCCTCTGCCTGGTGTGAGGTGGGGTCCACTCAACCCTCCTTTAACTTCCACTGTCTTCACTCCCTGTCTCCCCTGCTGCCTCCTTGGTGCAGCCTGTCCTTCACGCAGACCTCAGGCTCTGTTCTTTTATCCTTTTGCTCCCTTCTCCTGGCAATTTTCTCCAAGCTTACAGTTTATTGCATGCCAAGCATTGCCTTAGCCCTTCAGCCCAAAATGACCTATCACCCGGGTCAAATTTACTCAAGCACTGTATCAACAGAGCCCGTAAACCTTTCTTCACATGCCCCTCAGTCCTCAAATGCTTCGACTGCCATCCAATCAGTGGCCAGTGCCAGAATTCACTGCTGATCAAGGAGCCCGTGGACTCCCCCACTGTGTCCTCATCTGCCCCACTGTCATCTCCTGCATGTGACTGCTGGGCCTTACTGTGAGGG